AGCATCATTACTCCAGTCTTCAGTGTTACATGATCCTTCAGAAATCATTCTATTGAACATAAACATTCATTACTATTAGTTGAAAATGTGAAATGGCTGATACTTAATAAAACTGCATTAGTGGTTGTCACGCTTACTGTGTTGAGGAAAGCGCACGAAGATGAAAATGAAGCGTAAATAGTCTTTAATTAATCCACACAGAGGAAGGCAGTAACACACGGACCAAGACAAACTGAACAAACTAAAGCTTAAGTAGACAGACCAATGAGGGACGAATGAGTAAATTAACTAGACACAGGTGAACTGAATAACATAATCAAGGGGAGACAGAAACTAGGTCAAGGAACATGAGGAGAGTTAACACAACAAAGTCCATAAATGTGACAGTGGCATTTTTCAGAATTAAGTTTGAAGAACAGCATTTATTCCAAATAGTAATCCTTTGTAACATCATGTTTAATAGAAATCTTTTGTAACATTAAATGTCTTTACTGAGATTTTTGATCAATTTAATGCCTCCTTTTTCAATATCTTTAAAAAAAAAAAAAAAAAAAATAAAAACTTATTGACCCAAAACTTTTGGCTTAAATAGACAGACCAATGAGGTACGAATGAGTAAATTAACTAGACACAAGTGAACTGAATAACATAATCAAGGGGAGACAGAAACTAGGTCAAGGAACATGAGGAGAGTTAACACAACAAAGTCCATAAATGTGACAGTGGTATTTTTCAGAATTAAGTTTGAAGAACGGCATTTATTCGAAATAGAAATCCTTTGTAACATTAAATGTCTTTACTGAGATTTTTGATCAATGTAATGCCTCCTTTTTCAATAAAAGTATCAATATCTTTAAAAAAAATAAAAACTTACTGACCCAAAACTTTTGAATGGTAGTTTGTATGAAATCTATTTATATAACATTGCTTTTTTCTTTATTAAAAGATGGTTTTCTGGTATTAAATAATATATTTTTAAAAGTTTAATAATTTGGATAGAATGGAATGTGTCTTCATAGAATACAATGTAGATTATGCTATTACTTACAGAGACAGTGGTGTTTGGTATAGAGGCACTAGACACTGCTGCGCTGGGCTTCAACATGAGAATGTCTTCTGGCCACACTAAGATTTGGCTTAGCTGCAGCAATGTGAGAGCCAGTCAATCTTGGTTTGGTAAACTAAAAATGTGAGAAGACACAATGTGTTATAATAGCAAGCATAATATTTATATTAATATTACTATTTTAAGTAAATGCAGACTTCAAAAACACTTCTCTCTGAATGGAAGTGTAGTCCATAAGAGGAATGATTTATTAGCACTAGCAGTACTGACTCTTGAAATAACTACAAAGTATTTGCATGATGGAATAATTATTAACGTGTACAATTAATAATAGCCAGCGTGTATGTGGAATGTTACCTGAGATATAGAATGAAAAAGAGAAAATGTAGCTTTAACACATGAGAAGTATAGAGAGAGATGCCATGAGGGACATGAGTCTAGCTCAGTGACCTTCAACCCAGGCAGAGCTCAGTTAGAGAGGAAGAGGACAATCCAAGAGTAGAGCCCAGAGATGAAAGAGAGAGAGCACACAGGTTACATTCTTCATTTATCCTTGACCATGTGACTTATATTGCTTTTTCTTCATTAAAATATGGTTCTCTGGGATTTAAAAAATATTTTAAAAAGTTTAATAATTTGGATAGAACGGAACGTGGAACGTATCTTCATAGAATACAATGTGGATTATGCCATTACTTACAGAGACAGTGGTGCTTGGTATAGAGGCACTAGACACTGCTGCGCTGGGCTGATCTTCAACCTGAGAAGGTCTCCAGGCCACACTAAGATTTGGCTTTGCTGCAGCGATGTGAGAGCCAGTAAATCTTGGTTTGGTAAACTAAAAAGGGACAAGAAAATGATCATTTCAGTGAAAAGACAGAATGTGTTATAATAGCATTTTAAATTGTAAGAATTTTTCACAATATTACTATTTTAAATAAATGCAGCCTTCAAAAACACTTCTTTCTGAACGGTAGTGTAGTCCATTAGAGGAATTATTTATTAGCAGTACTGACTTAGGTTACTCTTGAAATAGCTACAAAGTATTTGCATGATAGAAAATGTAGGTAGATAGAAAATGTAGCTTTAACACATGAGAACTAAAGAGAGAGATGTCATGAGGGACATGAGCTAGCTCAATGACCTTCAACCTAGGCAGAGCTCAGTTAGAAAGGAAGAGGACAATCCAAGAGTAGAGCCCAGAGATGAAAGAGAGAGAGCACACAGGTTACATTCTTCTTTAATCCTTGACCATGTGACTAAAACCTGAGATATTCAGACTGACCAATCAGCAGACTACAACTGCCCCCACTGTACAAGAGGTGTGAAATTAGCAGGTCTCAGCCAATATCTCATAGGTTTTCTTGCTTTTTCTTTTTTCCCTCTTACTTTCTGTACTTCCTCGAATTTGAACTGAACTTCAATACTTCAATGATTTTAAAAAACTGATGCTTCAATGATTTAAAAATGAAATTGTAATTATTTTACCACTGACGAATGCAGTGCAATTCTTGTTGCCACAGGGGCAGCAGGCTGGGGCTGGGGTTCAGGCTGACTCTGCTTCATGGCCTCCTTCATCCCACTTCTGACAGACCTATCCTTTGGCTGTGGACAGAAACTTCAGTCTTCAACCCTCTGGCCCATTGAGCCAGCAGGGCGTTAACTTTGCCACAACCCTGCATTTAAGTCGACGTCAGAATTAAAGAAACATTGCAGTAATGCCAACATCAGTTACGCTAAACTTGAATAACACTCTCGAGTTGTTCTTGTGATGTCAATCCATTCCCAATACTTCATTTTAGACATACAGTGGGTACGGAAAGATATTATTTGATCTAATACAGCCATGAGTCTTTTTGGGAAAGATGCAACAAGTTTTTCACACCTGGATTTGGGGATCCTCTGCCATTCCTCCTTGCAGATCCTAGCCAGCAGGGCGTTAACTTTGCCACAACCCTGCATTTAAGTCGACGTCAGAATTAAAGAAACATTGCAGTAATGCCAACATCAGTTACGCTAAACTTGAATAACACTCTCGAGTTGTTCTTGTGATGTCAATCCATTCCCAATACTTCATTTTAGACACATATCAAACTGTGATAATGTGAGAACCACCAACTTGCTTGGGGATGTAAAAAGTGTCCATAAAGTTGTAAAACTGATGGCTCTACCCACAATAGCACTTTTGTGCAAGATGTAGTTTATTTACAGCACTGTAGATATATACAAAGTCCTGCGTGATGGCATGAAGAAATATACTGTATATTGTGTAATCACCAAAAAAAAAAAAGAAATACAAAGTGACAAAGAAACAACAAACTGGAAAATAAAGATTAAAAAGATCATATACAAAATATATAGACAAAGGGTATGTCGGGTAGATGTATCTGAGAGGCCAGGAAGGAGTTAGGAAGGCTCAGTACAACAAGGTAAATTTCCAGTTGTTCGCATTTATTAGAGACATGCCACCAATCAGTGATGATTTGTGAGTGATATTTCAAGAAAAAAAAAAAGAAATAAACTAAGTAACAAAAGCACAACAAAATAAACACTGAAACTACAAAACACAAAGAAAAATGCTGTCAGCAGCAAAACCTACAGCTCAAAACCACTTGCAGGAGTACTTCATTCAGTTTATACACATCTCACAGCAGACATGCACTTCAAGTCACCTAGTTTCAGCCTTCTGCCCCCCACCTCCTTTACAACTACAAACACACTGATTAAATCGGCTATTTTCCCGCCAGACATTAATGGCACAAGCCAATCACGGGGGAGCACATATCACAATGTACATCTCACAGAACATTTCCTCAAAACAGAAATACAAAATAAAACAAATAAGACATATATACCACAGAAAAATACCTCTTATACACCGCATAACCACACTGAAACAGACTCATTCATATAACTGATATGTTACCACAGTCAGATATTAAGCGGGCGCTTTGGTGATGACATCATCCTCCCAATCGTTATCACAGCGTATCTTCAATATACTCACTTTGATGGGGGTTGCTGACGGCACTACTCTTGCAGGCTCACGTTCGACTTGGTTAACAAGTGACAAGTATGAGTCTGGCCTCCCTTTTTATAGGCCAGACTCTGCCCCTCCTTTGGCCGTACCACTTTCAAAATAATACATTTCCTACTAAACTCGTTACATATATACAATAGACATATTTTAAAACACAAACCTCATTTAAACATAACAAACACATAATAAACAAATAATATAAGCACCAACGGTGACGTCATAAGTGGTTGATGCTCAATCGCTCGGTTTCGCCAGCGTGACCAACAAGACTGACCATGCCAAACACTCGTGACGAGCAAACAAACACTAAATACACAAGACGTAAACATGACAAAATGAATGCGTTATATAGTATGTATGATCAGGATGAAACTGGAACAGGGAAATGTAGTGTGTTAAACTGTCCATGTGCTATTAAGGCGGCATGTGCACCCGCTTGGCTGGCAACCAAATGGAGAGGGGAGGGAACTTTAGCGTGGTGAGTATGTGTTTGTGGTATGTGGTGTGTGTGCGCTGTGCCCAGTGGGATATCTACTTCATCCCACAAACTTTTTCTTTTTGTCACAAATGGGATGGAATGGGATGCTATTTCTTGGAATGCAGTGGAATGGGAGCTTCAGGTGATCCTGTCCCATCATGAACTCTGTGAAGAATGCCGTGTCCTGTCAAGAAAAGTGCATCCTTGACGCATTGATTGCAACAGTTTTCTCTGAATGGAGCTTCACTTGGCAGTACATGTGGAGTTGTATTAGAATCAAGTCAATATTACATTAAGATGAACACAATATCACATTAAGGTTGACAAAACGTTGCGTTTCCCATTAACAGGAAATTTCAGGAATTGAGTTTGAGACCTCTGGTCTAAGCTCTCTCAGGTTTCAAAAAGCACCACGCTGCCCCATGTGAGGATCAAACTCACGACCTTCAGATTATAAGACTGACGCGCTGTCTAACTGTGCCAACGAAGCCTGTGGGTTGATGGGGCTGAACAGAGAATCACTAGCTTCTAGGTCCTTGCCTTTAGGTGTAGCTCCAACAGGTCAGCTCCCACCCCGGAACTTAGTGAGTTCCGCACGAGCGGCAACCAGAAGACGAAGCAGAATAGAAGAAGAAGAAGTGAGGGAGGTCATGGGGTAGTGAGGCCTTTTAACTTCTATGGAGATCACACCTCCAGGGGATCAGTGAGCCAATGGTAACTTAAACTTTCGAGGGGGGGGGGAAAGCTGGCTCATTTGCATGATCAGAGTGGGCAGGTAGTTTTATGTCCCTTTATACTCTGATTAATATAACAAGCATACAATGTATGTTATAAGGAGATGGTATGCACCAGTGGATGGTGGACTAAACAAGGGTTATTTTGATATCAAACACAGTACCAATAGGGTTACATTATGTAATAATTCTATCATAAGGCATGCATAAAACAGTATACAATACTACAATACAAAAGACAATGTACAAAACAGTAATGATACACACATTGTCCTGGGGATTTACACGTTCATTCATAGAGTTAAGTAAGAGGGAGATTCTCTCTACGTTTTTTGGGGTCATATAGTTTATCTGGTTACTGTGGTAACCTGAGGTCTGTTCTGTCCTTTAGGGCGAAGGCTTCCAGAGAACCTCATGGTTTGCCCGTTTGCTGTAGAATGTATGTGGTTTATTTGTTAAATATAACTAATTATGTGTCTGATTCGTCCAGCTGTTACACACATAATTTTCAGTATCCAACCACATTCTTGCTTGTAATTGACCTGTAATCAATAGTATTACACAACATTGGTTTTACCAAAATACTTTTTAATTTTAACTTTCAATATACTATGGTAAACTACTTGTAGCTCACAATTCTTTTCACAAACTTTACACCACACAATTAATTTCTGTAACATAACTTTCAGAGACTTGATATGGAACTGTTAAATGCATTCCTTTCATAATAATAAGTACACAGTGTGATGGTGGGCTGACAGAATCTTCCTTTATTTTAGTGTTTGATATTAGATATTAGATATTAGATATCAGATAAAACCTTAAATTGATAAAAGTCTTTAGATATAAAAACAATTTGACTTCTGAAACAATCAAATATTTGGTCAAAAATCATTTGGTCAACATAATTGCACACAGGTTTACGTAATGTGCTCAGTTCAATACAGGAACACAGTGTGTATGAGTATCAGAGTAAAAGATTACCCGATTGTGTACTTCAGTACAAAACAACAATCATCTCTTTATTGTTGAAACATACAGTATACATGTCAAATCATATTTGAAGAACTACTTTACTATTTTCTTTGGAGTTCACGTGTTTCCTTTTGATTTCAAAACGAAAAAATAAGAATAAACTAACATCAAACATATTCCAAATGTTTTTTTTCAGCAACAATGCAAGATCTGCAAATGAAAGACTTGAAAAGACTCTGAATATAATTTACAACCTGCAGTTCTACCACCAACAAATGCAGACAAATCACTTGATGTTGCTTTTGAAGGGTGTTGATCAGTCACAGTGACGGAAGAACTGGAAGTGGTAGTCAGTAAATAAAATTTCTGCATAGTTCAGATCGGTGTTACAATCAGCCAAACCCTGTGTGAAAAGAACACATCTATACTGAAAGTATATGGTCAAAAGATTTAAGTCATGCTGCTAGTCACACCATCATTGCCATAGACTTTAACATTTAATTTGGCAGTACCATAGACAGAAGTACAGTCTGTCCAATATTTCATATTGTTAAGGTCATAGCTCATCTTTGATTTTTACAAGCCCTGTGTTTTGGTCCACTGAAGATGTGTTTTCCATGTTTTTTTGGCTAAATGGTTTACACTCAAGAACACAACACTACAACACACTGGGCTTCATTCATGAAACATGAGCAAAATTACTTTTTGAGTAAATCATTCATAAAGCCGTTCTGATGTAAATGTTCAGATTAATGAAAGTATTCATATTTTCATTTTAATAACACTGCATAATAATGCATATTATGAGACCATATAGCCGAGTAATCTTTAAAATATTGAGGTTAAACCTATTTGGCTTGCTGTTCAAAGTGGATGGGCTCAGGGAAGTGGCTTTAACTCAAGCTCTGATAAACCCACAGGGTCTACTAGTGCTTGGAAGATAAGTATGAATGGCAAGAAACTTAAATTAATGGAGATGGAAGGATGCCGAAACAACTAATGCTGGTGCGAGGCGAACGATGAGGTGATTAATGAAAGGTTAGATGGTTTCACTCCTTCAAAATTGTGTTTATGAATTTCATGTCATAACAAACTTAATTAGTTAACAATTAGTAAAATATGAAAATAAATGTTACTGATAAACAAAAATCAACAGCAACGTAGTCTGTTTTCCTTTTGATCATACAGTACTATTAGCCTATTAGGAGCAGCAGTCTTGTTTGCCATCTTGTCTGCCAACACTTTCATTGAATAATCTTTTTTAGGCATATGGACAATTAGTTCTCTTCTGCATTTATGCAATATACAGCAGCCAAACCAAAAAAGGGAGTCAAAAGATCCCACAATATTCCTGTACATGCAATTCATGAATGGGGATTATGCTAAAAGTGAATGCGTGCACACACACACACACCCTTTTTTATGATGCATTTGTGAATGCAGCGGCAAGTTTTAAGTAAGGTCCATTTTACGCTCAATTTACTCTGAATTTACTCAAATATTTACAAAAGTTTCATGAATGAGGCCCACTGAACGGACTGTACTTATGCCCCTTCCAGCCTCATTTTCATTTATGTCATATTAAATATGGTTTCTCTGACTAAAGTCTTTATTTAAAGACAGCGTACATTCACAGATTAACACACAAACACAAAGATACACAGGAACTCACAGCAACAGAAGAGCGGAAATGGTAAGAGGCACGATAGTGATTTGCCACTGCCAGTGTCCATTTATGTATGTAGCCCTGTGAAAAAGGGGGAAAAAAAAAATCTAATAAATGCATGACATCAAAAACCATTTTACTAAAAATTTAATTTTACCTAGGCCATGTACACACTGCAGATAAATTTGGCTGGTCAATTCACCTTTTAATGCTTAAAGGCACAATATGTAAGACTTTTTTATTAAAATATCCAAAAACCACTAGAACAGTGTTATATATTTTGCTGACTTGTGTACTTACATTATCCCAAATGTTTCGAAGAATGTTTAAATCCAGAGAAATAAGCAATTTTAACTAGTGACACGGAGTGTGTCCATAGTGTCATTGTGTTGCCTGCCAATGACGTCACAGCGTTTTATTAGACAGGTGACAACTGCACAGAGTAACATTATAGCAGAACTTTCAAATGTATCTAGTATGATAAAACAGCGCTGCTTTTTTTTCCCCACATACGCACGACCGGAAGGAGCGGAAGCGGTCGACTGTGGCATAATAAAAGCTCCGCTGCTTTCGAGCCGTGTGTCACGCTCGTTCAGCGGCCTCGTTTCGCTTCGACTGCTTTCAGCCTCACCCTGCTTCATTCTACTACGTTAATAAGTCATTAGCTCATCCATGAACATGATTTCTGCCTGAGTCCCGTCGGATTGCATCGGCTGTGGGGATGAAGACGACAACTCCCATGATTCCACACTCAGTCACGGTGTCATCAAACTACGCCTTTGTCTATTTGTTTATTTTGAATATGTGCCCTCTAGCAATTACATAAAATTACATATTGTGCCTTTAATCCTGTTCTGAACAAAGACGCAACATCTAATTTCCTTAATGACCAACGCTAGCTACCAAGAGCAGCGCAAATTAGCATAAGGATATGTTTGAATAATGTATTCCTCTGGCATTCCAAATAAATTAATATGAGTGGGAAAAAAATTCTCTCCCTTCTACCACGTGCTCTCTGTTCTCTGCGGTGCCTCCTCCTGGCAGCAACAATCACAGCCATGTCAAGCGCAAAATGAGTTAAAACGTGCTTTTTTGGGTGGTAAATGATAGCGCAAATACCAGCAAATTGATTACCGCATACCTTAGTAAATCATGTTGTGTGATTTATTTAAATACTTAAGTAATATTTATTTAAATTATTTAAATATTAATTTTGTGTCTGAAAGGGACACTCTTACAAATGCATATGCATTAAGGTCAGCCTGAAAAATTACTGTGCCCACACCTTTTTATCGCTAATTTCTCACTGCGTGACTATAGTAAATCCTGACAGTTATTTTTTTAACACCAAAAAAGGGTTTGCGCTGGCACAAGCTGTTAGTAAATCTCGCCTATGCAGTTCAGTAATTTTAAAGGAATGACAATCGCATTCTACAACCGAATTAACTCCCAAAAATGTTTTACAGAAATTCTTTGCAGTGTGTCCAGAACTGAACTTGGCCCTAATGCATTACCTCTTTTAGCTTAACTGTTAATCACAGAAATTATTAGAATTAACCATACATTTCATGAACAGCCCTAAAATGAATATCCTATAAAATCAAAGTTTGAATAGTTCACAACGAGTAAATGTTGTTAAAAAATAAATGTGAACAAATGTGCTGTGTATAATAAATGTGTCAGCAATAAATGTCAATAAAGCTCACTTGTCAAATCATATCAAATTATTATTATAAAATAATTACTCCAAATATATTATGTATTTAAACTTTTATGAATATATAATTAAATATAATTACTACATTTATTAGGAAAGGTGTTTATAATGCATGTTGCTTTGAAAGTAAAGTGCTAAAGTACCTGTGTGTTGAGAGCAGTGTTTGACTCTGGGCCATTGTAGTCGAGCACTGAATAGCACTGCTCACTCTCATCATGTGAACACAGGTGAATCACCAACAACTCAGTTGTGCTGCTCAAATGTAAGAAAAACACTCATTCATATCAAGGATGATGTGAACCACATATGAAGACATCTATTTTAATACCTACTATCTGTCTATTTATTATATATGAGCAATATTACTCAAGCAGCATTGCGATATGCCTCTTTATCTGCACAGCTACAATTCAGCCATCAGCAAAATGCCACAGTTCTTCATATTAACATATTAACATGTCCAACACTTTGTATCTAAATTCTGGATATATATGGATTATAACACTAAACAGTGGATATAAAAAGTCAACACGCATGTTAAAGTTTTGAAATCTAAAAAATGAATTAAATGTGCATCAATGAGCCTTGGGCACCCATGACCCTGATGCTGTCTTGGAGATGCTCTGACCCAGTTGTCTAGCCATAACTATTTGGGCCTTGTCAAAGACATTCAGATCTTTTCGCTTGCCAATTTTTTTCTGCTTCCAATATATATA